GCTTCTTAGGTTAATAAAGGCCTGTCATGGGAGTTTGTGGGCTTCGAAGGTTGTTTAAAATTTCGGAATCCATGCTGAACCCGGCTTTAAGCACACTGCGACCGATCTACTGTCCAGGCTATGAAACCGCCTATCGCAGGCTTTGCGGTTGAGTTTAGGGACATGTCGCGTCAATTCAGATGAACTTGGTGCCATATTCGGCAGTACCTCCGCCCGACATATAAGCCCTCACCGATAAGATTATCATGCTGTACTTGCCAGTATTTAGCTAACACTTCTTATTGCTGTCCGCCTCAACCTCCACTATTACTGAAGTAAGCTAATAGACTTCGGCTAAAATGATTGCCCCAAACTGTTTGCTTGTTAGTCTCTATGGAAAATAGTAAAAAAACATAACAATACTCACTTGAGCAAGGCAAGGGCGATGACAATAAGCAGGATTTAATGACATCATAACAATTCCTGACCGCTTCGTCAACTGTGTAGGTCATTGTCTCTTAGTGAGGTAGAATAAGCTGTCCAATTTAAGATCGACCTTGAGGGACTAAACAAGATAGATAATTAAACCATGAACTGTTGGTTTGATATGCGGATGCGCGTGGTGAAAGAAAAGGGGGAATATAGTTATTTAAACAAACCAGTTCCGATTACAGTCTCATCCTCTCAAGCGTGATGCGGACTGCAACGCTCTGGCAAGTAGTCAGTCACGAGACGAGCGGGCGAAATGGATTTGTGTTCATTATCAGTTTTTCCATGGCAGTGCGACGTCACAAAATGTTATGCTGTTATTATATTCTGCGTATTTCGCCGCCTTTGCCTTGTCCCACTTTATTCCGAGAAAACTGATCTTCGATCTTCTGGAAGTACCCATTTGGCCGGTACAAATTATTCGTTTCAGGGGGTCATGTCCGTAGACAGACCAGATTCCTCGGAGATGGCGATGAACCCCTGTATGTGTTAGAAACTAGTTTCTGGGCAACATAACAATGACACGTTTATCCTTAACAGAATGCACTCGTTTCTCTACTTTCTGCTGGTTTTATGACTTTACACGCAAGTAAGCCGTGAAAGTTCGATAATAATAAAGTTTATCTACCAGCCTAGAGACCCCTAGCCCCAGAATTCTGTCTTAAGGGCCGGTAGTATAAGTATAGTCTGGTTTTTAGTTTACTATTTCATTAGTTTAATTTCAGTTTTAGTATATTTAAGTTTCTGCTTAAGCTAGTTTTGTTCAGTTCAGTTTAACTTAGTTTAGTCTTTAGTAGTTATTTGAGTATTTTTAACTCATTTCGGTGTTATCTAACTAAACTAAAGTAAAACTGCTAAAACCAAAAGTACCCACAAAACTAGGGGTATGTAAGGTGATAGACCAACTTTATGATTACCGGAAGTTCTGCAGGAACTTATTTTACTATTCATGCTGAGGTTAAAACGGGGTGTAACTTAGTACCCGTTATGTGGCACAGGCCTTACATTGCTTCATCAATTGCTACAGTACAGCTTACACCCCTTTTCGCGATATGCCTCAGACAATGTGCGGTTTAGGTCTACATATACGTCTCTTTGCTCCTTAGCTGTCCACCTCCTGCTTCCTATTCCTGATTGCAGCAATTGATTCTCGGAGTGACTGCTGTCACACACGGCCATCCCTGTGCACTCTACGGGGCCCTCCTGCAGGCCCATGCCATTCGCCGCGTTTTTGAAATTGCCATGACCGCAGGCACACCCCAGATAGATGCTTCTTGTTTAATCGATCACCTTCAGACCGTCCTGGAGACTGCAGACATTGTGGAGTACAGTGCTGGGAAGGCCAATGCTGCCACACGCATAGCTGAGGCCCTACAACTGGTCCTTTCTAAATTGAACACAATTCGAGGCTTCCTCGATCAGCAGAATCCGCCGTCTGTCGAAGAGGTTGTCCAACAACTTGGTGCGTTCTGCTCGACGACAACTTTTTAGCTCTATCTGTTGTGAGGAAGCAATACTTTTTATTTTCATATTCTCTCGCTGCTATTGGAAGTACATGTCATCAAAAATCTGCGTCTTCGGGCGTGAGGCTCCATCCAAATTAGGCCTCCACTCACGGTGTACTTGTATATTTATGCGCTTGGCAGTTGGACCGTTGCATCCGACGATGTCCATCCGACAGCAGGATGGACATAGGGAGGATCACATTTAAGTACTCCTTTCTCATCTTCAGAATCTGGTTTACCTTCCATGAACCCGGTCACTGACTGTAGACAACACTTACACATATGTAATTGCACTTGATACAACTGCGATCATGCCTGATCTAGCCCTCCTTGATGATGTCAAGGATTGCAATTCTGAACGCGGGACGATTTGCTTCCATTCTCTTCTCCAGCGCCGTTTACCGAAGCTCCAAGGACCCCTTCCACGTCTTGATGAACTGTGTCGAGCGAGGTCTTGAGTTTACCTCCTCTTTGACGCCTCCGTGTGGTCAGTGGCGCCGGATCGAGGGTAGTATAACAGAGCTCGTGAATTGGACGTCGGAGGACATATATGTAGTGCCGCGACAGCAAGGGTTAATAAATAGAGCTGGGAAGCGTAATTAAAGATGATTCGATAAAAAAATAGGAAAATCGACTGTTCATTTCCAACCTTTAACAGTTCCCCATTTCACGTTGTTTTAATGAAGGTTCTGATGGTCTGCTGATACACTTTAGGGTATGTATTTTACATTTGCCTTTTCTCCGTAATACAATTATGCTTGGCAACGAGATGTTCGTGTAATGTTCACTGTTTATTATTGGCGGAATAAAACTGCTTAACGTGGTAGGTGGATTAAAAATTTACGTTATTGTTGTATCATAGCAAAATGCTTAGCAATGCTAATTGATTGTTTGGCTGTTTTTCAGGAAACAGTGGGGCCGCAATGCAGGCGATTCCCACTGCTCTTTATGTTTTTATTGCGCTCACTAAAACCGTCGCCTGAGATCGACTTTGAGGTATGTGCGCTTTCTTCCCATTGTTCCAATGTTCACTACGTAGAACCTATCGCGCGCCTTTAAAATGTGTGTTTTTGAACATCGTAAGGGACTACCGACAAGTTTTGGGCACAATTTAGTCAGTCCCGACTTTGTTTCCGCCATCCGCGGGGTGGAAAGAGCTGGGGTCAGAAT